GGGACTGCTATCTGCGAAGCCGCCGCGGCGTTCGAAGGCAGCTGGTGGGTCCTACGGGGCGAGCGCCGCGCAGATCCGAGCGGGACCTCGCTGTCTCTGGGGTCTGCGACCTGCGAAACTGTCGCCGCGCCCGAGGGCTGTCGGTGGGTCCAGCGGGAGGAGGCACCGCGCAAATCTGAGCGGGACCTCGCCGTCCTTGGGGGGCTGCGCTCTGCGAGACCGTCGCCACTTTCGAGGGTTGCTGGCGGGTCCTGCGGAGCGAGGCGCCGCGCAAATCTGAGCGGGACCTCGCCGCCCCTGGGGGGCTGCGCTCTGCGAGACCGTCGCCACTTTCGAGGGCTGCTGGTCGGTCCAGCAGTGTGAGGCACCGCGCAAATCTGAACGGGACCTCGCCGTCCTTGGGGGGCTGCGATATGCGAAACTGTCGCCACTTTCGAGGGCTGCTGGCGGGTCCTGCGGAGTGAGGCGCCGCGCTCGACGGCAGCTGGTGGGTCCAGCGGAGCGAGGCCACGCGCAGATCTGAGCGGGACCTCGCCGCCCGTGGGGGGCTGCGATCTGCGAAACCGTCGCCACTTTCGAGGGTTGTTTCAGGGGCCAGCGTAGCGATCTGCGAAACACTCACCATTTTCGAAGACTGCTGGTGGGTCCAACGAAGTGGGGCACCGCGCAGATCTGACCGAGACCTCGCCGTCCTTGAGGGCCTGCGATCTGCGAAACCGTCGCCACTTTCGAGGGCTGCTGGTGAGTCCAGCGAAGTGGGGCACCGCGCAAATCTGAGCGAGACCTCGCCGTCTTTGAGGGGTTGCGATCTGCGAGCCTGTCGCCACTTTCGAGGGCTGCTTGAGGGGCCACCATAGCGATCTGCGAAACTGACACCACTTTCGACGGGTGCTGTCCTGCGGAAGGAGGCGCCGCGCTGATCTGAGCGGGACCTCGCCGTCCCTGGGGGGCTGCGATTTGGGAAACCGCCGCCACTTTCGAGGGTTTCTGGTGGGTCTAGCGGAGTGAGGCACCGCGCAAATCTGAGCGGGACTTCGTCGTCCTTGGGGGCTGCGGTCTGCGAAACCGTCGCCATTTTCGAAGGCTGCTGGTGGGTCCAACGGAGTGAGGCACCGCGCAAATCTGAGCGGCACCTGGCAATCCTTGGGTGCTGCGAGCCTCACGATTACCGCTCGCAAAACTATATGCGCCCATGACACGTCGTCGCCTCTGTATAACGCCCCCCAAGCTACTCATGCCCCGCATTGCGCAGGAATTGGGTACGTCGCCACGGTAATTTCGGGGATGGACAGAACCCCCTTTAGTAAAACGTGGTTTAGTGAAAACGACCTCGGGCCCAAACCTGGCGGGCGCAAGCCTGGAAAATGACGGCCGCGGTGCCCTCTCGAAAACCGAAAACGGACAATTCACTAATCGACGAGTCAGGGTGGGGGTTCTGTCCACCCCCGATAATTTGCCTTCGGGAGGGACCCCCCCCTGTGGTCGCGGTTGGACGGAGTTCGACCACCTAGTCCGGATGTTTTCTGGGAGTGTATTGGCACTTTCTCTGGAGCGAGAAAAAATGGCTCGACACAAATCCAGACCTGGACCATCAGAAAACGATCCGCGACGAGGAATAGGTCCCAGCGACGGGGTCGAGACGCGCAGGGACCCGCGCAATCACGATGCATGTCAGGGGAAAAAAGAAAGGACCGCTTGCGTCGAATATTGGGGGGACCTTCTCTACCCCCTCGGCCTGACCCTCCGAGCTGGATCCGATGGCCATGCGAGATATCAGCGTGGCCCTCTACACCTTCCACACAAGAAGAGGGGTTCTGCAGGGAGTCAGTACACCGAGGTTTTGTGTCGTCCTTGACTCGCGCCGCCCTTTTAGAGTGCCTGTCGAACTCCAGCTGCCAGAATGGGCCACGAGCGCCCGAACACCCACCGGAACACATCAAAGACAAATGCCGGCAACAGAAATTACTCACTGCGTGGAGCTCCCCATATGTGCATTTCATGTTTTATGTCATGCCATAGCGAGCGTCTGTTCATGAGCGCTTAACTATAATAGCGCGTCCACGTGGCGACAAGGTCGGCGAAGACGAGTGAATCCTAATGCGAGTGAATGAGTATGAGTCAGAGTGAGCTTTGAGTGTGATTGAATATGAGCCTCCCATTCATTCCCCCTCCTCAAAACTGGCCGCGAACGGGCCCGTGAAACCACCCCTGGCGGCTCCCCTTAGGGGTGCTGAAACCAGCGCCCCGCCTGAGACATCCTCACAATCTGCTCTCAAAACCAAGGATGTTGGGCATGAAAGCAAGCAAACCCCGTGAGACATCCTCACAAACTGGTTGCGAACGGGCCCATGAAAACACCCCTGGCGGCTCCCCGTAGGGGTGCTGAAACCAGCGCCCCGCCTGAGACATCCTCACAGTCTGCTCTGAATACCAAAGATGCTGGGCATGAAAACGAGCAAACCCCATGAGACATCCCCACAAACTGGTCGCGAACGGGCCCGTGAAAACACCCCTGGCGGCCCCCCTTAGGGGTGCTGAAACCAGCGCCCCGCCTGAGACATCCCCACAAACTGCTCTGAAAGCCAAGGATACTGGGCATGAAAACGAGCAAACCGCTTGAGACGTCCCCACAAACTGGCCGCGAACGGGCCCGTGAAAGCACCTTTGGCGGCCCCCCTCGGGGGTGCTGAAACCAGCGCCCCGCCTGAGACATCCTCACAGTCTGCTCTGAAAGCCAAAGATGTTGGGCATGAAAACGAGCAAACCCCATGAGACATCACCACAAACTATTGCGAACGGGCCCATGAAAACACCCCTTGCGGCCCCCCTCAGGGGTGCTGAAACCAGCGCCCCGCCTGAGACATCCTCACAATCTGCTCTGAAAGCGAAGGATGCTGGGCATGAAAACAGAAAACCTCATGAAACATTCCCACAAACTGGCCGCGAACGGGCCCGTGAAAACACCGTTGGCGGCTCCCCTTCGGGGTGCTGAGACAAGCGCCCCGCCTGAGACATTCTCAAAATCTGTTCTGGAACCCAAGGAAGTTGGGCATGAAAACAAGCAAACCGCCTGAGACATCCCCAAACTGGTCGCGAACGGGCCCATGAAAACACCCCTGGCGGCTCCCCTTAGGGGTGCTGAAACCAGCGCCCCGCCTGAGACATCCCCACAAGCTGCTCTAAACGCAAACGAATCTGCCCACCAGAACAGCCAAACCGCCTGAGACATCCCCACAAACTTGCCGCGAACGGGCCCGTGAAAACACCCTTGGCGGCTGCCCTTCGGGGTGCTAAAACCAGCGCCCCGCCTGAGACATCCTCACAAACTGCTTTAAACGCAAACGAGTCTGCCCACCAAAACAGCCAAACCGCCTGAGACATCCCCACAAACTGGCCGCGAACGGGCCCGTGAAAACACCTCTGGCGGCGCCCCTTAGGGGTGCTGAAACCAGCGCCCCGCCTGAGACATCCCCACAAGCTGCTCTAAACGCAGACGAGTCTGCCCACCAAAACAGCCAAACCGCCTGAGACATCCCCACAAACTGGCCGTGAACGGGCCCGTGAGAACACCCATGGCGGCTCCCCTTCGGGGTGCTGAAACCAACGCCACGCCTGAGACATACTCCGAATCTTCTGTGTTTTGAATAAGTCTGCGTGCAGTAAGTCTGACTATGGGAAGGTCTGAGTATGAGTAAGTCTGTGTATGAGTAAGTCTGTGTATGAGTACGTCTGGGTATGAGTAAGTATGGGTATGCGTAAGTCTGTGTATGAGTAAGTCTGTGTATGTGTACGTCTGGGTATGAGTAAGTCTGAATATGAGTAGCTATCAGTATGAGTATGTCTGAGTATGAGTAAGTATGTGTATGAGTAAGTCTGGGTATGTGTAAGTCTGAGTATGAGTGATTCCGAGAGGAGGGGAGGAGAAGAAGAGGGAGTAGGAGGCGTCCAAGTAATAACAAGAACCCCATCTTAGGATATGGGGAGAAAATGCTGTTCTGACCCCCAGCGACCGCATGGCAGAGGGGAGGAGGGGTGCCCTTCAATGGCCCCCGGAAGTCTCCAGAGCTCTCTGGAGATCCCCGCGTTCTGAAGACGTTCTCCGGAGGGCCTTGGAGACTCCCTCAGGCCTCCCAAAGCGCCAAGGAGCTTCAAAAACGTCCAGACACCTCGATTCTCGACCCTCGGGGCTAAAGTACCACACACGTTCAGGGAACAACCTCGATCCTCGAGGAGCTCCCTCTGCAATCGCGCGCCGGCGGGGGCGGCGGGGCCGCTCGCTGCGCCGGCGGTCCGCCCTGGAGGCGAGGCCGCGAGCTGGCAATTGGCCACCAAGATTGGGTCTGCATGGGCCCGTCGAAGAGTTGTGATGGTGGGGATATACTTCATGAGAGGATGAGGGGAGGGAGGCAACGGACACACACACACACCTGTATACATGTATACACACATACGTCATATTTATACAGAGGGTATAAGAAAGAAAAGGGGATCGACACGAGGAGGCTGCGACTGAAGCAGGGGAGGGCCGGAACACCATCGTGAATGTGTCAGTAGCCGTGAGATGGGGGATTCGGTCCAGCTGCGGCCGCCCTCCCCCCCTCCCCGACCCAGACGCCCGTCTGTTTCCCTCCGTCATGTCCCACGGCGGCAATCGTGGCTGCGTGCGGCGGCGGTCGACGGCAGCAATGAAGCCGAGAAGAGTGATGACCTTGATCTGGAGCTGGGGGACTTTTTGCGGCTGGCCCGGTCAGAGAAGGTTGCTTGCACGCGATAGTAGCACCAGCCTGCCCGAGCTGCAGAGCGTCTGGGGAGAGTAAAAAACCTCGGCGCGGGGACGCGCCCGGACTGTACGCTTTCTTCTCGCCGCCGCCCAGGCAAGCCTTGCTATCCTCCTCCTACTCCTGCACCCCCCTCCCGCTCCCCGACTCCTCAGCCCGCCTCCTTCTCGCTGACTCCTTCTCGTGCTGTGTCCTCTTCCTCATCCTCCTGCTCCCTCATTGCCTCCTTCTCCGCCTCCCCAGGGCTCGCGCGGCACTCGACCCCTGTCAGGCGAGGGCGACAGTGGATCGGAACGTTCAGTGGAGCGCAAAGCGGACGACAGGGCGGGCGAGGTGAAGCTCATCCGCCTCCAAAGGACGCAAGGAGGCGGGCTGCGCCTCCGTCGGCTTGTGGGTATCACCGATCAGACGCGCTCCTGCTCGACCTCCGAGCGGCCCTAAAGGGCGCCTGCACGAGGCTCCAAGCTTGCTAACAAACCACGCGACGCTTACGCCTCCCTGGCAATGCCGTAGGAATGCGCGGAATCCTGAAGATGCCCTGAACATGTGGTCAGCAAGTCCAAAGGGGTCGTGACGAATTCCTGCGCAATTCTGAACACTCACTCGGCATTCCCGAGGAGATCTTCGACAATCCTGAGGATATCGTGATGACGCCCTCCGGAACTCGAAGGGCTTCTTCAGGAATCCTGGGGTTGTAGGGAGGGCATCCCATAGAGTTCCGAAAGCACCCCACGGATGTCCGCATGATAACTAGCTCTTCTGAAGGAATCATCAGAGCTTCCTGATGAAGCCAACATGCACTCCGAAGGAATCCGAGGATTCGCAGGAGATTCGAAGGAAGCCTGAGAACATCCCATGGACTTCTGAGCACTTCGCCCGGCGCCTTTAGGATGTCCTCCGCAATGCCGAACATGTCCCCATGGAATCCTGATGAATGCTCACTGGATGCTACAGAATGTACTCAGGACTCCTGAGGATGCGATCCTGAGGACTTCCAAAGGGTCGGAATGATGTCCTCGCTGGTCGCACAGATTCTGTACGTGCCTTCCAGTGCTATGAGGCGCCGCCCATCGCGGAGCGAGACCCCGCCGATGCAACGCAACTTCCTCGGGCGAGACTCCCGTCCGCTCGCGCGTTGCCCAGCCGCGGAGCGAGACACCCGCCCAGGCGACGCGACTGCGTCACCCACGCGCTAGGCCCCCGCTCGCGAGGGCGTACCCAGTCGCGCAGCGAGGCGCCACTCCAGTCGCAGAGCGAGACTCCCCGCCAGTCGCGGAGCGACGTCCCCGCGGATGCGACGCGTGACGTCCCAACCATTTGAAGGGGGTCGCGCGTGGAAATGGAGGCGGGAAGACGGAATTCCCCCTCGGGCCGCGAGAGCGCGCACCTGAGCATCCCCCCCCCAACCCTGATGAGGGGTGGGTGGGTGGGGATCGTGCGCGCATCCTCTGATGAGTCCCCCCTCGGTTTCCTCGACCACCTCCCCCTGCTGCACCTAATCGCCTAATCCCATCAGCCCTCTGGGCGTAGACAACATGGCTCCAAGAGGGCCTCCGATGCGCCAACATGGCCTCCAAGATGGCTCAAGATGACATAATATGGTGCAAGGAAGCTTCCTCCGACATACCTCCAAGAGGCCCCAAGATGGCCACGCGACGGCCCCAAGTGCTCTCGGAGTCACCCAAGGATCCCCCCAAGAGTCCAAAATCCTTCGAACATCTTAGGAGCATCAATGACTGCTGCTTCTCGCCTTTGCGCGGCCGATGGGCTTCCCTCAAGACGGTCCCAAGATAGCCCAAGAGAGCCCCAAGAGGGGCCCAAGAGACCCCCCAGACGGCCCCAAGAGCGCCCAAGAACGCTCCAAGATGGCTCCTAGATACGGTGTTGAGGGTTCTGGAGTTTGGGGGCCAAATAGAGGACCCCACCCTGTGGCCTCCAAGATGGATCCAAGAGGCCACCAAGGGCTCCCAAGAGATGGGTCCAAGAGGGGTCCATGAGGGCCCCAAGACCCTGCAAACGAACCCCAAGGGGGGCCCCAGAGGGCCGCGAGAGAACCCAAAGGGGGCCCCAAGAGGGCCTCAAGAAGATCAGCTCTCATCGGCAATGTTTCTGATTTGACAGGTGGGGGTACGCGAAGCGAGAACTACTCCTGCTCGCCTCATCCTCCTCCAGCCCTTTCCTCTTGCCCCCCTTCATTCGAGAGGGCCTGCTGGGGTTCAGATCACTGGTGCACGAAAGGACGCCCCACCCACAACCCCGCGCGCCTCCAAACGTCTCGGAGCGGCTCCCTGATGTAGGATTCGTCCGCTATTGCTCGCTAGGGGCTGAGCGTGATGCCCATGCTCAGGTGCCTGCCAGGCCCTGCGACTTCAGCGCCTCCAACTGACTCGGGGTGAGCTCCACCGTGCGGTCCCTCTCGAGCTGCTGCTCGTCTCCGAGCTGGAAGGTGCTCTTCAGCGTGTCGATCACCTCTGCCACATCCTGGAATTTTTCGCCCGCTGGCCCCGAAGAGTCCAACATCCACAAGTAGCTCACCTTGCCTGGTCCTTTGACGCCCTCGTCGGACACGGTGAGCTTTATGACGTGCCGCCTGCTGAAGAACTCCAGCGCCTCTCCCGGTGCATCCGACCGCTCGCACCGCCTTCCATTACTGGACTCGACGACGTTGCCCAGGCAAACGGAGTTCTCGAACTCGTAGGACAGGTAGCGCCTTCCATCCTTGATCGTTTCGTTCGGCTGCCCCAGCATCTGGAAGTCGGTCAGCCCGACCTGCTGCCGCTGAGAGGACGAGACGACCTCCACGGCCTGCGCTTTGTCCACCTTCGGCGCCACGCCGACAGGCGTCTCGAAATACTCGATAAGCCGCCTGGCGCCCTCTGGGTCCGGCGCCCCTGGGGCGGTCGACAAAGGCACGCGCAGCACCGTCATCTCGCCGCCGCCTTGGATGTCCCCGGCCACCACGAGCGCCGTGGGTTTCGGCGGCGCCCCCGGGGGCGGCGCCGCCGTCTGCGAGAACACCTTCCAGGACCGCGGCAACGACAGCTGCCACCCCTGCTCCGCCTGCGCGGGCGGCGCGCCGCCGGACAGCGGCACCAGCCCCACTGAGGCGGCCGCGAGGGCCCTGCGGCGCCCGGGCAGCGGACCGACGGCGACCTCCGCGGCGTCGCGGGCGCCGGCGGGCGGCGCGGCAAAGGGGGTCCCGGGCGGCCGCCGTGGCGGCCCCGGCCAGGGGCGGGGCGCGAGGGCCGCCAGCAGGGCCGCGGCGGCGGCCTGCGCGGCGAGGCGCGGCGCTGCAGCCCGGCGATGGCGCCGCGCTGGCGCCGCGGGGCGGCCACCTGCGCGGCCCATTGCCGCCTGCGATCGGCGGGCCTCCCCCTCTCGGGTGCCTGGGGGCCGACGCGACTACGGGGAGGGGGGAACGACAGCAGCGGGGCGTGTGGCGGCAGCAGGGCGGGAGCGAGAAAGGTGGGAAGGGGGGAGCGGGCTGTGCACGAGGAGGGGGAGAAGGGGGGAGAGGAAAAATGAGAGCGGAGGCGATGGGGAAAGGGGGGAAGAGGAAGAAAAACAGGGATAATTAGGGCAGGACAGCAGGAGGGGAGAACAAACATGGACGAACACAGGGGAAACCGACGCCGACGACGAGGGCGGTGACGAGGATAAAAGGACTGACGAGGGCGGAGGAAGTCGGAGTATGACGTGGATGGGCCCAGAAACAGGCAGAGGACGACCGAAAGAAAGACAGGACTGATAATACGTAGCACCCCGCAAATGAGGATAAAAGTGAAAGGGCGGTGGGGACGTCGGCAGTCTCTTGGATTCTCGAAAAGCCCGCCCAAGGGGCCAACGTTTCACAAATTATACAACGAGCCCGCCGCAGGCGCCAATTGTTTGTTAAACCAATGTGGGCAAGTCGCGGGTGGGTCGCAAATGGGTCGCGGCTGGGTCGCGGGTGGGTCGCTGTTGGGTCGCAGGGTGGGTCGCGGGTGGGTCGCGGGGTGGGTCGCGGGTGGGTCGCGGATGGATCGCGGGGTGTGTCACGGGATGGGTCGCGAGCGGGTCGCGGGTGGGTCGCGGGTGGGTCACGGGGGGTGGGCGCGGGTTGGGTCGCGGGTGGGTCGCGGGGTAAGTTTAGGGGTGGGTCGCGGGGTGGGTCACTGGTGGGTCGCGGGTGGGACGACGACAACAAATCAACAAACATTACGCACCAAACAGAATCCTCAGCACGGATCCCCAGTTCAGCCACGCACCCAGGGACAATGAATGACCGTTCGGCACCCTCACTGTGATGAACACGCATCCTACGTAGATGACGAAGTAGAATCCCACCAGCCCTTTGGGCGTGAGTGGTTTAGAGAGCCCCCTCTGTCCTCAACCCCCCAACCCCCCTTCTTCCCCTTCGGGGAGGGGTTTACCCCTCCCCCTACCCCCTCCCCCTGGGCCTGGACAGGGAGTCCCGCGGGTGGTCAGGGGGGTCTTTTTCGACGCCTGGGAGGGCAAAAAAACGACGACCCTCACGAGGATTCTGGCCCCGACGGGGGGGCGCTCTCGTAGCCCCCTCCTCTTTCTGTGAAGCCAAAATCATTGCTTTTACGAGGGTATTGGCCCCATCTTGGCCTCCCGAGGGGGCCGCGCTCATCTTCCTTCATAGCAAAATCATTGATTTTACGAGGGTTTGGGGTTCATGTTGTCCTTCTCAGGGGGTAGCGCTCATTTGCGCTTCTGAGGAGGTCGCACGAGGCCCCCAAGAGGCCCCAAGATGCCCCCAAGAGGCCTCCAGGAGGCCCCCAAGAGGCCACCAAGAGGCCCCCAAGAGGCCCCCAGAGGCTCCCAACAGGCCCCCAAGAGGCCCCCACGAGGCCCCCAGAGCCCCCAAGAGGCTCCCAAGAGGCCCCCAAGAGGCCCCCAAGAGGCCCCAAGAGGCCCCAAGAGGCCTCCAAGAGGCTCCCAAGAGGCCCCACGAGGAGCCCGAACGACTCACACCAGGACGAGGGGCCCGAACGACTCACACCACGAAGAGCCCGAACGACTCACACCACAAGGAGGGGCCCGAACGACTCATACTAGGACGAAGCGCCCGACCGACTCACACCACGAGGAGCCTGAACGACTCACACCACGACGCGGGCCTCGAACAACTCACACCACGAGGAGCCCGAACGAGTCACACCAGGAAGAGGGGCACCGCTCATACAGGCCCCCCAAGAGGGCCCCCAGAGGTCCACCAGATGGCCCCAAGAGGTCCCCAGATGGCCCACAGGAGGTCCCCAGGAGGCACCACGAGGCCTCCATCAGGCTCCCAAGATACCCCCAAGAAGTGCCCAAGAGGCCCCAAGAGGCGCCGAAGACGCCCCAAGAGGCCTCCGAGCGGCTTCGAAAAGACATATACTACTACTTCTTCTCCTACGATTCGTACTACTTTTACTACTAGTACCACTCATACTCGTTTGACTACATCATCTCGTACTACTACACTTACAACTACTCTTACGACTACTACCATATCTACTCGCACTACTATGAGTCCTACTACTACTAGAACTACTACCACTACTACTACTACTACTACTACTACTACTACTACTACTACTACTACTACGACTACTACTACTACTACTACTACTACTACTACTACTACTACTGCTACTACGACTACGACTACTACTACTACTACTACTACTACTACTACTACTACTACTACGACTACAACTATTACTACTACTACTACCACTACTACTAGTACTACTACTACTGCTACTCGTGCTAGTACTGCTACTACTACCACTATCACTACTTATTACTACTACCACAACTTCCACATAGACCACTGCTCTAGTGACTGCCTCTGTTACTCAGGCAACTCGTGCGACGACGACGTTGACGACTACGTTTGGCTACTACTACGTTGCTACTACTGGTACTACTACTACTACTACTACTACTACTACTACTACTACTACTACTACTACTACTACTACCACTACGACTACTACTACTACTACTACTACTACTACTACTACTAGCACTACTACTACTCATCCTACCCTTCCTACTACTACTACTACTACTACTACTACTACTACTACTACTAATACACTACTACTACTACTGCTACTACTACTACTACTACTACTACTACTACTACTAATTACTACCACTACTACTTCTACTACTTCTACTTCTACTTCTACTTCTACTACTACTACTACTACTACTACTACTACTACTACTACCACTACCAGTAGTACAACTGATCCTACTGGTACCACTTCTGCTACTACGACTAGGAGTCGACGAGGCGGAAGAGGAAGAGGGACAGAAGGCGACGGAGGCAAGACTGAAGGCGATAGGATTTCAGCTCGACAAGGGTAGAATCACGGAACTCAGAGTGCGCACGTCCTGGGTCAGAATGCAGGTGGTGTGCGTCGTTGGGGCCCCCTCGCCCTGGTGTGAGTCGTTCGGGCCCCTCCTTGTGTGAGTCGTTCGGGCCCCTCGCCGAACGACTCACACATCGAGGAGGGGCCCGAACGACTCTGACCAGGAGGGGGGACGCGAACTACTCACACCAGGAGGAGAGCACCGAACGAATCCACTGCACCGTGGTAGCGGCCACACCCACGGGTAAAACTGCCTGATATCCCAGTGTGGCAAAGTAGCGATACCACCCATTACTGATGCAGCGGCGTACCACAAGGCCCCCAAGAGGCCCCAAGAGGCGCCCAAGAGGCCCGAAGAGGCCCCCAAGAGGCCCCCAAGAGGCCCACGAGAAGCCCGAACGACTCACACCAGGACGAGAGCCCGAACGACTCACACCACGAAGAGCCCGAACGACTCACACCACAAGGAGGGGCCCGAACGACTCAGACCAGGACGAGAAACCCCGAACGACTCAAACCACGAGGAGCGCACCTCTCCCAGGGCTGCTGCTGTGGGGGTGGGGGGGAAGCGAAGCGTAAAGCCTGGGCGGGGGAAAAGACAAAGGCAGCGCGCAAGGAGGATGCGCGGGCACAGGCGGAAAGGGCGCCTGCTTCTCAGCGCCCCTGTACCCACACATCCTCAGCCCACTAGCCCCTGGCGTGTAGCCACAAGACATTCGACTGTCCGGCTGTCCGACTGTCAGAGAGAAAGCACAGACAGAGAGGCATGCACAAAATCCCCGCGCGGCGGGCGGGCAAGAGTCTTATCTCATTGCGAGCCTGGCCAGGGGAGGAATGACAAGAGCACAGACGGGATAAGTGGGCGCAGGCGGAACGGGTGCCTGCTTCTCAGCGCCTCTGTACCCACTTATCCCAAGCCTACCCTACTTCCTGGAAGCTGTCCTCTGTAGCGGCCAGGAAAGGGAGTGCTGCAAAACAACACTTCTGGCGGCTGGCGTCGGGGATCCGAGTAGTCCTGCCAGCATCAGGCAGACGAGACAGACCAGATATCCCAGGATACAGCCACCCCTCCTCCGAAGTATACTCCGAGAAATCTACGGAGCCTCTAAAAGCCATGCAGGATCAAACAACGCCTGAAAATTAAATACATCGTGAGGGGCAGGAAAAATATATATATATATATATATATATAACGTTGACATTGTCAACCGCAGTTACCTCACCGACTGGTTGATCAGTGCCGGGGTCACGACCATCACACATGCGTCGAAGCCGTGAGATGGTGCCAGAGGCCCGAGGAGGCCCAGTGCATGATTTAGTTAAATCAACTGCCTTCTTACAAGATTAGCGGCCACATCGTCGACAAACTATGATATTATTCAGCCGCCTGAGCACGTGCCCACCGCCAGTGGGAGAAGAGCACTGCGAACGCAATAAGTAGCTCTTGGAGACTGAACTAGCCCAACAATTCACGCAACGAAAACGACCCGCTGAGGGGCCCCAGAAGTGCTCATGCAAGGCCCCAGAGGAGGCACCAGAGAGGACTAGGGATGGGGCCGTGGGGGCAGGGGACTCGTCAGAATCCGCCGCCCAGACCTTTTTGGGTACATTCTTTAAAATCCATGCTATACAGTGACCGATATACACACCAAGATTGCGCACCAGCACACCAGAGCGCTTGATACGGTCGTGCAGGACCGTGTCCAGAGTGTGTAGGTCTGCACCTAGGTTAGCAAGTCTGTCGGCTTGCTTATTACCCGCAGAGGTAGAGTGGCCACGAACCTTGGTGACCTTAATTAGGTGATACCCGATATCTGAAGCCGCACGGTGGACACGGACCCACAAGGATGCGTGAGTGGCCCATCCGTGCGTGGTAGCTTCATACACCATTGCCCAACCGTCAACGACAGACTGGGCATCCGTGACAAACTCGCAGCAGTCGGAGGGGGCGGCATGGGTTAGATAAAATAAAAACGCGTAAAGCTCAGCCCCTGAAACATCCTGGGTGAGAAAGGGATATACGCCATA